TGTGTGTGTGTGTGTGAGAGAGACAGTGCCAGGGAGACTGCGCGTGCATGTGAGTGTGCGCGTGCATGTGAGTGTGTGTGTGAGTGTGTGCGTGAGTGCGTGCATGTGAGTGCGTGTGTGTGCGTGCATGCAAGTGACATTGCGTGTGTGGGGGTGTGTGTGTCAGAGAGAGAGGCAATGTGAGGACTACACAGAAAACACAACAGAACAACATGTTTCTGACACTTTTTCTGAGACTTCTCTCTCCCTCTTTTTCTCTCCCTCTCTCGTTCTGTCTCTCTACTTCTCGCTCTCCTTTCCCTCCCTCCCTCCCTCCCTCCCTCCCTGTGAACGTCTGTGGAAAGCTGCTTATATAGTTGTAAAAGAGTTTTATTCTGGTTCTATTTATACGGTATGCGATTCTGACCTGAGATTGGTAGGTTTATGTAGCCCCTGGTGTTGTCGTTAACTCCCCCCCCCCGGCCTGGCTCACACCCCGGTAGGGGGGTCGGGGAGTGGGGGGGGAAGGGGTCTGGACGCAACAAACTGACCCACACATAAACATCAGGACCAAGTTCCTGATCGAAAATTTTCAGGTGGATTTTTTTATATAGTTTATTTTTTCTATGGGGGTCGGGTGGGAAGGGGGGGGTCGGGAATGGGGGGCCGGCAATTGGGGGGTAGGTGGTGGGAGGTGGGGTGGGGGGGAGAGAAAGGTAACCGAGAGCCGGGTGGTTGGGGGGCGGGAAAGGGTTGGGGCGGAGGGTGGGGGATGGATAATTGTTGGGGTTGAGAATTGACGTCAATGTTTTGTTCGTTCGTTTCTTCGAGGCAAATCCTGCAGTCTCCCTCCCTCCCTTCCTCCCTACACCCCCCCACACACACCCGCCCCCCCCACACTCTCTCGCCCTCCCCCCTCCTCCCCACCCCCCCACACAGGGGCCATCCACACTACACACTCCGGAGTAAATGCATTCAGTTTCTGTGTTGCCACCGGGTTAAGTTCAGCGTCTCCGCCTTTCACCTCACCAAGAGCTTTGAGACGTTCTCCTGACGTGAAAGGGGGGATAGGTCCGTTGTCGTTGTCATCGTTTCCGCACCAAAATAAATGGTTGCCGTTTGTGCCTAGAATTCTCTTCTCTCTCTCGCGCTCTCTCTCGCCCTCGCGCGACCCCCCCCCCTCCTCCCCGTGGAAGCAAGAAACCGTCCTCGAGTCGCCCAGGAAGGTGGGCAGAGAAACGGCGGGAGATGGGGAGTCGAGGCCCGTGACCACCAGCGGGTGACGTAAGACCCAAGTTTTGAAGACGCGTACATTAAAGTAGATTAATAATAACATTAATAATAAAATAATAATTCTGGCATTCGACACAGTGCCTTATTACCTCTTTTGAGACGTCTCGAAGGGCTTCACGGGACGAATAGGCCGGTAGCGTGTTACGTCAGAGGCTTATTTTGTAAAGGGAACCGACCCAATTCAGTGTCCCCACAAGAAACTCTTTTTTTTTCCTGACCAGACGGGTGTCTGACACACACGGAAACCCGTCACCGTCGCTCAAGAGTCTCCAAACCCGACTGAGAATTCCCCACATCCCCCCCACACCCGGGAACCCCGGAGAGAGATTGTCGGGTAAAACATTTTATCATTTGTAAGCACTTTGCCGTCCATCGATGGGGCTTAAACGTTTGTTCTGCTGAGGTTGGTCTCAGCGCTGGAGGGGGGGGGGGGGGGCAGCGGGAGGGGGGGCTGCCGAGGGGGACAGAACATTGTCAGAGGCTCCGTCCCTTTAGTTGAAGAGTTAAAGCGAGACACACACACACACACTATACGTGCTCTGTTCAGGCAGACGTTAAAGAAAAGAGAAGGGAGTTTTTCTCTCTCTCTCTCTCTCCAACAACTCCCCCCACCAGATAAAATCACTCTCTGGCCTCGTGTCAAACTCCTTGGGAGGTGTTTGTAAGGTTAAGGACTGATTAAGTAGCTGTCAGCGCTGATGGCTGTATTAATATTTAATAAACCTCAGTCGGGGAGCGGGAGTTGTCTGAATGTCCTTATCGACCGCCTTATCACAGACGTAACCAATACTTTTAAGTAACGTTACGTCCTGAATGGTGGGAGTTCTGTAAGTGACTGGTGCCCGGTACGTGGTGAGCGAAATGCGTTCACTTTAAACTGAGCATCTTGCCATCCCCCCACCCCCACCCCATCCCTACACACACACACACACACACAGTCTCACACACACACACACAGTCACAGAACACACACACACACAGAGACACCCAACACTCACATACATTTGTACAATTTTATTAGAAACAGAATTCCTCTTTCGCAGTCAGCTCAACAACAGAAAGAATAAAAAATATTGGGAAACATATACCGAGTTCTAACCCCCCCACCACCGCAACCCCCCCCCCCCCCCACCCCAAAACCTCTCATTTGCCTGTGATCAGCGGGTTCCTGAGCACCACGATGACTGAGTCTCCGCGCAGGAACATCTTGGAGATGTACCGGTCTTTGTTGACGGGTTTGGATTTCTTCTTGCCTTTCCCGCTCTTGGGCACCTCCGTCCACATCTCCTTCACGTTCTCCAGCACCATGTTACAGTGTCTGCGGGAGACGGGGGGGGGGGGGGGGATTAGACCGGGAGTGAAGGCAGATGGGGAGGGGAGGGGAGGGTGGGGTTAGACTGGGGGGAGAGGAGGTTAGAATTGGTGAGAGTGGAGTTAGACTGAGGGGGAGAGTGGAGTTAGACTGAGGGGGAGAGTGGGGTCAGACTGAGGGGGAGAGAGTGGGGTTAGACTGAGGGGGAGAGTGGAGTTAGACTGAGGGGGAGAGTGGGGTCAGACTGAGGGGGGAGAATGGGGTTAGACTGAGGGGGAGAGAGTGGGGTCAGATTGAGGGGGGGAGAGTGGGGTTAGACTGAGGGGGAGAGAGTGGGGTCAGATTGAGGGGGAGAGAGTGGGGTTAGACTGAGGGGGAGAGTGGAGTTAGACTGAGGGAGAGAGTGGGGTCAGACTGAGGGGGAGAGAGTGGGGTTAGACTGAGGGGGAGAGTGGAGTTAGACTGAGTGGGAGAGTGGGGTCAGACTGAGGGGGAGAGAGTGGGGTTTGACTGAGGGGGGAGAGTAGAGTCAGACTGAGGGGGGGGGGAGAGTGGGGTCAGACTGAGGGGGGAGAGTGGGGTCAGACTGAGGGGGGGGGGAGAGGGGCGCAGAGTGGGGTTACACGCCGGGAGGACGTCCCAAAGCCCTGGACGGGGGTTAAAGGGGCGTAGCGAGCGCGAGTCGCGACGCGTTGCGCGAAGAGAGGGGCCGCGGACCCGGGGCCCCGCCCGCACCTGTCGAAGGCCTTGACTCTGCCCAACAGCTTCTTGTTGTTGCGGCAGTTGATGAGGACCTGAGTGTTGTTCTTCACCGACTGGGTGAGCACGGACAGGGGCCCCGTGTTGAACTCCTCCTCCTCGCGCTTCTGCAGCTCCTCGGGGGTCATCTCGCTCTTGGGCTTGTTCAGCAGGCTCCTGGCGAGGCAACGGGACAGGTCAGCGCCGGGGTGGGGGGTGGGGCGGGGGCGTTTGCTCCCCGTTCCCCCCGCCCCCCCCTTTCGCGCGCTGTACGTCTCAAAGCCCCCCCCCCCGTCCGTCCCCCGTCGCGGTATCGTTGTAGTACTACTACTAATAATAATCATTCGATACGGCGCCCGATCTACGGCTTCGAGGCGCCTCGAAGCGCCTTCGCAGGATACGCTGTCGAGCGTAGTGACTGTGCGTCTTGTGGGCGGTTATTACTGCCGATGGTTCTTCGCCGTTTGTTAATTGGATTCACTTCCTTCGCGGCTGTGAAACGACGACGACAACAATAATAATAATAATAATAATAAGGGGGTTCCGTCGCCTTCGAGGCTTCTCTCGTCTCCCCCCACCCCCCCCTCACGCCTCCCGCTCCCCGGACCCCCACCATCGGGAGGTCGCGCTTTCAGGCGCTGCGCCCGGAAACTCTGGAACGCTCTCCCTCAATCCCTCCGCCTCGCCCCCCTCCGTTCCTCCCTCAAACCCTCCGTCTCCCTCCCTCGATCCCTCCATCTTGCCCCCTACCCCCACCCCCCCCCTCTCTCTCTCTCTCTCCTTCAATCCCTCCGTCCTGACCCCTCCCTCAATCCCTACATTTTATCCCCTCCCCCTCCCCCCCTCTCTCCCCCCTCTCTCTCCCCCTCACCCCCTCTCACCCCTCTTTCAAGTCCAGCCTGAAAAACTGTCCTCTTCGGCCCGGATTACGACCACTCCCCCCTCTCCACACTCCGCCCCCCCCCCCCACCCCCCGGCTCGGCAGTCGGGCTCCGGCCCTGAGGCGCTATCCTGCGTGGAGGGCGCTACGTAAGTACAAGCTGTGGGTGTCGTCGCCGCCGTCGCCTCAAAGCGCTCCTCCCTCCCTCCCTCCCTCCTTCCCCCGCGGGCGCCGACTCCTACGCGAGGCCGAGGCTCCGAGACGCCGGCTAGGCCTCAGGCCTCGGAGTCTCCTGGGCGCCATCCCGGCCGCTCGGCGGGGCCCTGGCGGGGGCTGTGAGTCAGGCCGCGGCCTCTCGCCCTCTCTCCCCCTCCACCCCTCGGGGCCCCGTGACCGTCTCCCGCTTCCACTCACATGTTGCCGCCGCTCCGAGATCCAGGCTGCACCGGAAGGCCAGGCCCACTTCCGGTGGCGGCGGCGGACGGAGGAGGGGGGCGGCGCGCGGGGGACGCCGGGAGTTGTAGTTTCCGGGTGTGGGCTCCAGTTCCCGGCGGCCCCCGCGCGGCCCCCACTGAGACCACGTGACAGAGAAACAGAGCTACAGTGTAACAGACAGTGAGACACAGTGTAACACAGACACTGACACACAGTGTGACACAGACGGTGACACACAGTGTAACACAGGCGGTGACACACAGTGTAACACAGACGGTGACACACAGTGTAACACAGGCACTGACACACAGTGTAACACAGGCGGTGACACACAGTGTAACACAGGCGGTGACACACAGTGTAACACAGACGGTGACACACAGTGTAACACAGACGGTGACACACGGTGTAACACAGACAGACAGAGTTACGAGCTGGGGGTCGGGGCGGGGGGGAGGGGGGAGGGCGGGGTGATCGAAAGCACAGTGGAAGAGGAGGGTCTTGAGATGGGTCTTGAAGGGGGCGATGGAGGGGGTAACGGAGGGGGCGAGGGAGGGGGCGATGGAGGGGGTAACGGAGGGGGCGAGGGAGGGGACGAGGCAGAGGGACTGCGGGATGGAAGTTCCAGAGGGTGGTTGGGGGGGGGGGCAGAGCGGTGGAAGGCCCACCCGCCCGCCGATAGTGGTGGGGACGTGAAGAAGGCCACGGATGGGCTTTGGAGGTGAGGACCAGGGGCCGTGAGCCGTTGGGGGGAGGTCGACAAGCGGGTTCCTACTTACCGCTAGGTAAAACATGCGTGTGCGTGTGTGTGTTGTGCGCGCGCGCGCGCGTGTGCACGCGCGGAGTAAGGAAACTTGGCCAACGTTTTGCCCTGTTGAGCCGCAACAAATGGGAGGACGTCCCAAGTCCCGGGGCTGCCGTACAATGAGAACATTGATGTTGTCTCGGAGCAAAGGGCTGACGGGGTGGGAGGAGACGGACAGTGAGCAATAGACGCGACAGATCGGGACGTGAACAGGCGTCTGTCTCGTTGGGAGGTGCCCGGAGCTGATCAGATACACCGCAGAAACCTATCGTGTTCCCCCTCAACGTGAGAGTGTTGGCTTACAGACAGTGGGACAGACAGACAGACAGACAGACAGACAGACAGACAGACAGACAGACAGACAGACAGACAGACAGACAGACAGACAGACAGACAGACAGACAGACAAACACACACCTGGGGTCTTCCTGCCACATCTGTGTGTGTGTGTGTGTCTGTCTGTCTGTGTGTGTGTGTGTCTCTGTGTATGTCTGGGTCTACGTGTTCTGTGTGTCTATGTGTTTCTCTATGTAATGAAAACTGTTCTCCCCCTAATCCTGTGGTTTTGGGGATGAGCTGAGCCCGTGTCCGATTATGTCCCCACTGGGGGGTGGGGGGTGGGCGATAGCCAGGACTCGGGGGTCTTGTGCGACACTGCTGATCGCTGTCTCGCTCACGGGGAGAATCAGGAGCCCCCCCCCCCCCCCCATCCCACACCGCACTCTCTTCTCCTCAGTCAATCAGCCTGGGGTCAGGGGGCTACTCTCTCACTACGCTCGACGGTGTATCCCGTGCAGCGCTTTGAGACGTCTCGCCGACGTGACACGGCAGGCGCCGGGTCAGGGACAGTCACTACAGTCGGCGGTAAAGTGTCTGTGAAGCGCTTTTGAGACGTTTTGATGTGACCGACGGAATGTGATTATAATTGTCCAATTAAAGCTCTTTGTCATCTGAAGCCAAACTCCAGTCCTGAATTCTTTCTCTCTCTCTCTCTCTCTCTCTCTCTCTTTCGCTCTCCATCTCTCTCTATCTATCTCTCTCTCTTTCGCTCTCCGTCTCTCTGTATCTCTCTCTACCCCTCGCTCTTCTTCTGCTCTCCATCTCTCTCTTAACTCTCGCTCTCTTTCGCTCTCTCTCTCTTTCTATCTCTCTCTCACTCTCCATCTCTCTCGCTATATCTCTCTCGCTCTCTCGCTCTCTATCTCTCTCTCTCTCTCCTCTCTCTCTTGCTCTCTATCTCTTGTTCTCGCTCTGTACCTCTCTCTATCCCTCTCTCTCTCTCTCTCTCGGCAGCGCTGGGGCTGAACGGGAGGTGACCTTTGCTGCGTTGGGTGTCAGCGTACGGGAAGGTTCCAGATAAGAGACTCATTTGAGCTGCAATTCATTGCAGTGGAATGAGGTGTTAGCCTCAGTGTCCTCGGGGTGCAATCCTATCCTCGCTCGACGAACAGGTAACACTAAATCATTCTAATGGGTAACAACAGCCCTTTTTACTCAGACACTAATTGATCCCCCCCCCCAAAAAAAAAGAAGGCTAATGTGTCTCCGAGTCTCCGAGTGTCAGCCGCAGAGGACCTGACTTCGATTCCCGGGCAGGTCGGGACGAAACTTTGGGCGAGTTTCCTTACTCCACACGCCACACACGCTCGCACACGCGCACACGCATGCGCACACGCCTCTGTTTACCAGCAGTCAGTAGATCGCTCTTCCAGGGATAATAATCCCTCCGAAAAGAAGAAGAATTATAATGCGGCCGCTCAGCCCACGGCACTTTGTGGGGGGCCGTCGCCGGGCGCGATCGGCTGCCGCCGATTTCGCCCGCAAAGCGCACAGTCACTACACTTTACGGCGTGTCCCCTGAAGCGCTTTGAGACATCTCGAGGACGTGATCGGGCGCCGGGTCGAACACCGGGGATTGTTATAGCTCCGCGCATGACTTCGGATGACTTCGCTAAACCTCGCTCCCCGTCTGTCTGTCTGTCTGTCTGTCTGTCTGTCTGTCTGTCTCTCTGTCTCTCTGTCTGTCTGTCAAGTGTAGTGACTGTGTGTTTTGTGGGCGAAACCCGGCAGCCGATCGCACTCAGCGACGTCCCCACAAACAGTAGTGGATTGACAGTAAAATTTGAGACTTGCTGTTGATCTCGGCCCAGACTGGTCTTTAGGGCTCGAGACTGTGTGGAGAGGGGGGGGGGGGGGGAGAGAGGTGGGGGGGAAAGGGGGAGACATCAAACGGGCTGACGAGGGACGCGGATCGAGGATTAGCCTTTGGCTGACGGTTTGCTCTGTCTGTGTGTTCCGGCCCTGAAGCCGTGACGGCGGTGAAAAACAAATGTTATTATCCCACATAAAACTCCTCCGTCCTCACAGGGACTCGACAACAACACTGACACCTCCCAACACCCCACCCCACACACACACACACACACATATACACACTCACACACACGCGTGCGCGTGCACACACACAAACACACTTACATACACACACATACACATACGTACGTACATACACACACACACAAAGACACGTACACATTACATACACACACACACACTATAAACACACACACTTACATACAAACACACACATACACTCACATACACAAACACAATATACACACATACACACACAAACACTATACACACATACACATACATACACACATAAACACACACACTTACATACAAACACACACATACACACACTTGTATACACACACGCAACAACAACAAGGAGGGACATCGAAAGCACAGTCGAAGAGGAGGGTCTTGAAGGTGGCGAGGGAGGGGGCGAGGGAGGGGGCGAGGCGGAGGGACTGCGGGAAGGTGTTCTACTCTAACCCCATTCCCCGCTCTCTCTCTCTCTCTCTCCTGATGTCAAGGCAGACAAACCCCCCCCTCACCCCCACCAGATAAAATCACTCCTTTCACAGCTGTGCGCAAATCACCCGCAAACAAACACACAGTCACTACACTTCACAGAGAAACCGACGTAACAAGACCCTGAACCACCCCCAAGGAGGAGAGGGGAGAGAGGGGGTTCGAGAGAAAGGGGTGACAGAGAAACCAGGCACTGCGACAAATGTCGGGGTTATTATTAAGACTTTAATCAGACTTTCCGGGTTTAACGTCTTACAGTTTTGCTCAGAGTCACCGGAGTCGGACACACACACACCCACACACAGCGTATAACGGTAGTAAATCGACACACCCTTCACATTAACTGCCGCTCACACACAAATAGGGGGAGGACAAGTTTGCAGGGCTGTGTGGGGGGGGTGGGAGAGAGAGAGAGAGAGAGAGAGAGAGAGCGCAGGGGGAGTGGGGTTGATCAGGGCTATGGGGAGAGAGAGATAGAGCGGGGGAATGTGTGTCTGTGTGTGCAAGTGTGTGTGCGAGTGTGTGTGTGAGTGTGTGAGTGTGTGTGTGCGAGTGTGTGTGTGAGTGTGCGAGTGTGTGCGCGAGTGTGTGTGTGAGTGTGCGAGTGTGTGTGTGCGAGTGTGTGTGTGAGTGTGCGAGTGTGTGTGTGAGTGTGCGAGTGTGTGTGTGTGAGTGTGTGTGTGTGTCTGTGTCGCCATTAAACGGCCGGAGACAAAAACAAATAAATAAACAAGCAGCGGTCGGGGTGTGGGTCAGTGTGTGAGCGAGTGATCGGGGCAGCCCGGCTCGAGGGGGTGGGACAACCTTCCTCGGAGCGGGTCCGAGATGGGGGTGAGGGCAGAGGGTCTTCGAACGAACCCTCGGCTCTTCGGGCTGGGGGGCAGCGGGCGGGGGAAGGGGAACAGGAACGGGAGTGGGGGGCAGAGGAGGTAGCCGTATCCGGGGCGGGGAGCCTGGCCCGTCAGCCAGAGCGAGTCGGGCAAACCGGTGGCGAGCGCGGTCGGGCGCCCGGGGCGAAGAGCGACGCAGGGCCCGAGGGAGCATGGGTGGGGGTCCGGAAGGGGAAAGGGGTAGCCCGGGGCGATACCGGGGGCAGGAGGGGCTGCCGCCAGCTGTTGATGCTGCTGCTGCTGCTGCTGTTGTTGTTGTTGCCGCCAGTGATGATGATGATGGTGGTGGTGGTGACGGAGAGACGCAAACGCAGACCCGGACCAGTGGAAGGAGCCGGGGATGGGGGCCAACCAGGTCGGCGGGCTCACTCCCCGGCCCCAGGGGGCCGGTCCAGCCCGGGCCCCCGCCTCGGCCCCGGCCGCGAGCGGGGACGGCCTGTGCAGCCGGCCGGTGGCCGGGCCGATGGAGAGGTCGCGGCCGGAGGGGTCCAGGGTCCAGTAGCTGCCCTTCCCGGGGTGGTCCCGGGGTCTGGGCACTTTGACGAAGCACTTGTTGAGGCTCAGGTTGTGCCGGATGGAGTTCTGCCATCCCGGCTTCCTGTCCCGGTAATAGGGGAAGTGCCGGGTCACGTAGTCGTAGATGCCGCTCAGCGTCAGCTTCCCCCCCGCGCTCTGCCTGATGCTCATCACGATCAGGGCGTTGTAGCTGAAGGGGGGCTTCTTGGGCCCGACCCTGGCCCCCTTCCTCGCCCCCCGGCTCCCTTCCTCCTCCTCCTCCTCCTCCTCGTGTTCCGCCCCGACTCCTCCGTTAACGGCGACGCCGCTCTCGTCGGTTTCCTCTTTGCTTCCAGGCCGCTCTCGTTCGCCCCTCGCTCTCCTCTTCCCCCGCCCGACCCCTACCTCTCCGCCACGGCCGCCACAGTCCCGGCGAGCCCCGTCTCTGGCCGCGGTGCTCGCTCGCCCGCTCGGGCTCCGCTCCATCGCTTCGCCCGCGCCCCCGCGGAGGCAAAGGGGTCGGAGTCAGGAGCAGCTCCCGGGGAACGCGCGGAGAGAGAGAGAGAGATTGGAGCCACAGTCGCTGAGAGAGCGAGAGAGTGTGAGTGAGAGAAAGAGTAAGTGAGAGAAAGAGAGAGTGAGTGAGAGAGTGAGTGAGAGAGAGAGTGAGTGAGAGAGAGAGACAGAGAGAGAGATTGGAGTCACAGTCGCTGAGAGAGTGAGAGAGTGTGAGTGAGAGAAAGCGAGAGTGAGTGAGTGAGTGAGTGAGTGAGTGAGTGAGTGAGTGAGTGAGAGAGAGAGAGAGAGAGAGAGAGAG